GCTGAATCTCTCTCTCTTGATAGGCATATCTCTCACTTTCGGTTTGCGTGTCCCATTCTCCGGCACGAACCTTTATGTCACTACTTCTCACACTAAAAAAGAATCCAAATATTACCATGCGACACATTTTTATGCTTACTTTTGAACGCAATGCGCTCCAGTGAGCACAACATTAGGTGCGATCAAAGAGGCGCCGCAAATCGATGAAAGCCCGTCGGGTCCTGGATTCTTGTTCAAAATCGCCAACATCCACGGGAACTCGCCATATTCAGCTTCGTTGTTGCTATTTCCAGTGATTTTGAAACCGACTCCGTTAGGATTTCTAATACCGCAGAAACTCGGTTGATCCGGAGGTAGAGTCGGCGTCATTGGAGTAACATCAGGAGGAGATGTAACCTCGGGAGGAATTTTACCGTCGGCAGGAATTTGGCAGCATACATCAAGGTAATCATCACAGTTGTTGTTACCAAATCTAGAACAAAGTTAAGCGTTACCATACCATTTTGCTAAGTTTGTTTGATTTGAAAAAATGTGAGAATGCCTCTTGAATAGTGAACCTAGATTAAGTACACACCTGTAAGGTTAGTTGTAGAACTATAATTGAAATAGTTTGCATGACTAAAGCAAATTTATGCCACATCAAACAGCAAACACCAAAAACCACAAATTACCTGGCGTCGCACCGAGTTACATAAAATTCACGTGTTGCGCAATGCGTCCTGACATTTTGAACCAAAATCGCAGACGCATAAATGCGGGCCCTAGATCGACTGTGGTCACCAAAAAGTTAATAAAATTCCTTTATCAGATACTAGAACAATTAATTTTAGCATTGAAACTGGTACACGTATAATGATTTTGATTCCCTTACTCTTGATCAAAACCTATGTAGTCAATTGGGATAGATGCAAAATATCGATCCTAGAGTATGGTTCAAAAGAAGCCAACGGACATTTTCACAAAATGGAAATTAATTTCTTGGGCATTACAGGAATGCAATCGAACGTTTTCTGGTCATAGTAAATGTATAAATAACGATTGTAACTTCTGAAGAAATATAAATAATTTCCTAAACAGGTACTTTAAATTTTTACCATTTTCATTTCCAAAATATTTAAAGTTATTGTTTTTGAGGCCAAAGTATTGACGCTCACTTCCTCTAAAATTTCGATTTATTCAAGAGCCAACATGTATAATCTGTGTTTTTAATAAACTGTACTGATCGTAGATTTCCCTGCTATTGTTGAAAAATGTTGGAAAACTAAAAGGATGTATTCGAAGGGAATTCCAAAAAGTATGTACACATAGAGTTTGCCTGAGTTTATTGATGCACTAAATTGTGATTGAGAAACATTCAACGTTCAAGAAGTGAATTTACCACTAACTAAAAGATAATGGATTTATTTGGAAAAAAAAATATACGCTGGGATGTTTAAACTGATAGAGGATAGATGGATTGTTGCGAATCCCGGATCTGTTTCTGAGTGAATTTTATTTAGAATAGGTATGCACTCATTGGTGGATATTCCAAATCCGGAACAATCGCTTTACAATCAGAGGTAGATTTATCTTGCACGTACCACAAAAAACATTAAACCCTCCAATTATGATAAATTTGCCGCCATTATTATTGGTAAAAATCCATCAACGCCTTCACTCAAAATCCCACAGGATGGCAGAAGAAATCCCTACAAAGTTGGGGCTCTACCAATGTAATTAGGACAAGGATTTGTTTCTGATATTAATTGTAAATTGCGATGGTGAAGAAGAAAAGGCCCAACGTAAATGATGCTCGTTCACTGACTGCATAGCAGAAGAATTTGCTGTGGATTTGGACGGTTTCACATCGATAGTCGATTCTTGAATCAAAATTCAAAAATTATTCAATCGAGTTTCTTAATTAGGTCTGTTAAGTCAACTAAACTGACGTTGAACTGTTGTGGTACAAGGGGTCCTCAGTGAAAAAGTATAAAGATTATTTAATTCTATTTTCTGAAATTAGTAGCTTTAGGTATACCTCTAGATAAGCTAGTAAATGAGCAAAGCGGAATTGGTAAACAAATTTTTAAAACTATTATTAATGCAATAATATCTTTAGAAAAACGTCGAAATGCATTATCCAAGTGCATATTGTGTGAATATAACAACGTGAATTTTCACTTATAATTGCACAAGAGGTTTGTATCTTACCGAGTAAATTTGAGTTGTTTAGTTAATGAAAATCTGTTGCTTAGCAATTAGACGAGAAAAACTGTCAACTAGTTGACTAGGTAGACAGTTTTTCAAGTTCAATTGCTAAAAGGAAACGGGTTTGAATCGCAACAACACAAATTTACTCGGTTTAGGTAAATACAAACCCCGAGTGTAATTCGGCAGGACAATTTAACGAACAAGAAATTCACCAAACTAATCAATTATTGACAGACGTCAAACTAGTCATATGGGAAAGGATAATGCGATAATTGGTTCGAAAATGAATAAGTGAAAAAACCACTAGTGCATTTGTCGCTGGAAAAGTTGTAGGTAACTTTTGCCGATGTCAAGGTGACAATTGTCAAGCACATTTGAAATTGTTGACCAATCATACGCCTTTCGGATTACAGTATCGTCGGATTTCGTATGCATGTGAATCCAGCTTTATGCATGAGTTGAATTGTCAAAAAAAATCAAACTAGAAGAAAAAAAATCGGCTAGAGTCGACACATTAAGGAAATATAGGAATAGTATGTACCTAATTCATATTTACCAAAATGGATGGCCACAACGGCACAATAGCCAACGCTAACAACACAAACAAAAAAATAAATAAAAAAAATTCCTGCAAATTTAACAATTTAAGTAAGTGGCATTGTTTATTGTGTAAGGGTTTGTTTGGCTTTGCGTTTGGTTGTGTTATATAGTATACACACTTTTACATTTAATAAACCTTTTTTCACATTTGTAAGTGCTTCGCACCCTAACATCATAACATGAATTAATAATAAATAAGTAAATAAATAAATGAATTTATAATTCGAAGATTTAGATCGTGATTCCGAACCCGCATCAACTTTAAGATGGGCGCAGTGTGACGTACTAAAGATGCAATCTTCCTTGAGGCCGAAATAGTATCGAGATTCCACATTGTCGGTATATGCACAAAATAATATCGCATCAGTCAATATAAATAAATTGTTTATGCTAGGCTAGGTACTTCGGTATACATATATTACACTCAAAAATAAATTATAATTATTCGGACGTGTTTTGAATGAGTTATATAAATAGAAAATATAAAGTTAAGCACATGTTAGGACGCAATTGGTTTTTTTTCTAGCGAAATACATCTTGTAACTGCCTCGCGTTCAGATTCACATTCAAACGCGATACAATTTGATGTTCATTAAAGTACCTAGCTATATCATGTTTTATAAGAGCAACTTTTCGCGTTGCCTTTTTCATTCGCTGAACGTTCACAAGAAAAAGTCCTACTTTTGTAAGTTGATGAATACAAATAGGTTGAGGAGGTAACGCTGCCTATTTAAATACGATGTTTAATGTAACTCTGTTCTTGAAGTGTGATAAAATCTTGGGCTTCCCCAGATTTTTCATGCTTCAGAGTGATTTGTGACGTGGTGCATGTAGAAAAAAGATGATTCCAACTTCCAAGTGACATTTATATACGAAATGTTGGCGTTGTGCAAATGGTTTGCAAAATAAAAAATCTCTTGGTAAAAGATCATCCAACTTTCAAGTTTGTAGGTATACCTACATAGGTATAAGCAAAAAACATGTTAATAAACTAGCCACTTGGACGTACTTACTATCTGCCATATCCTTATTAATATTTATAGGTACAAGATGCTATAATGCACCTGTACGTAGATGCCCAAGCATTTTATAAAACGCAGACGGATTTTTTTCAGCATACTTAAGCAGCTTTTCCAAAGTGAGACGGGCAAGGTTATCAACAAATCCATCAAGTTTATACATACTATCACCTATTGACAGGAGAACAATGTAGTTACCGCTTCTAGACATTAGAGGCCAATTAAAATTGCATATTATGTACGTTTAAGTACATTATACATTAAATTTGATTTCACTATCTAAATTTTAAGAATTGTAAGGAAGCAGAAGAGAATAATGAAAATTTTGTTTTTCTATTTACAGTTCAAATTTAACAAAAATTAGGGGCCCTAACTACTAAAACATGGCGCAATAAAATAGTACGAACCCATTAATTTTATCAAGATTTAAGCAGGTCAAAACTGCATAGACTAACTTGCATTGGTGTAGGAACCCAAAACTTTGTCCTTGTCCATATATAATTGTTTAAGTTAAATATACATCTTGAATTATTAGCATAGTATAAAGTATTAGTACCTGATATCAATCAATCCTGTACCATCGTACTCTTCACTTGGGATTATGGTCCGCGTTTCACCATCGCAGTTGAAGTATCGCACGCAGCGATGAACCCCTTCATCCGAACCTTGTCCACATTTTTGCTCGGCCCCAAAACCGTCATTTCTTGGAGACGTTACTTCTTCATATTGATCAAAGTAATTTCCAGTAGATGTAGTAAAGATCTTATCTATGGCAACTTGTACCTTGTCCTGTTGTGCATGTATGTGCAACAACGTGGATAATATAATAATCAATTGCTTCATCTCAAATTAATTCGTCGAAACTTAAAAATGATCACACAAGGTCAAAAAAATAAGTTAACGTAACCTTGACTTACGCGTGCTTCTCTTCTGCAGTATAAATTGCTAACTGCAGTACATATACTTAGCACCTACAGCAAGACAATTACGAAGGACTGTAGCGAAGAAACGAATTGAATAGTTGTTCAAGATCGTCCTCCCCCACCACCACGTCAAAACAAAATAATGTATTTACGTGGAAAACCCGTTTACAAAATACTGGGGACTTTATTTTCAAGAAATGTGACCTTAGCAACGTCATTATCGCAACCTAAATTACAATTTCAACATTATTTATCAATAACTTCTGTAAAATGTTTAAAGATTTTTTGTTTATTGACATACATTAATATGAAGCGTCATTAATTATGAAAAATTCTTACAAACTTAATTTCTATACACAGCAGTATCGAAACCTTGATCGATCATCATGTTGTCTATCCATTCGATTGATTTTGCTACATTGGCGTACACCCCCGGAACCAAGTCTTCACCGCAACCAATTCCCCAGGCGACAATTCCGGCTTGAAAGTATTTATTCTCATTTTCTTTACCGAGAATTGGACAAACGAGAGGACTACCGCCATCTCCCTTACATGTGTCTTTACCGGGTTGTCCCCCAGCGCAAATAAATGATTCGTTTAACTTAAAATGGACACCCAACCTAGTTTTTCGAAGCTTTGCTTGACAAGTCTCCCTTTGCACGATCGGCAGGTCAATTTTTTTCAAAATGACTTGATATTTTCCCTCTTTGCCAAAAACATCTTTCCCCCAACCAGTCGCGTAACACATCAAATTATCGAGTATTTCGTGTTTATCCGGTAAACAAACGACGTCCACGTTTTCAGCAAGATCTACGGGTGAATCTAAGATTAAAAGAGCAAAATCGTAAAAAAGTGAGCCCGGTTTGTAATGGGGATGTATCAAAATATTTTTTACGTCTCGGTCTTGATGAGGATGGAGTTCATTTTTAGTTTGCGTGTCCCATTCGCCCGCGCGTATTTTGTACATCTTATTTTTATCGGGAATGCAATGCGCAGCAGTTAAAACTACTTGAGGATGAATGAGAGAGGCTCCGCATTGATAAATTAACAGTTTTTTGGGATTTCCTTCAATCGATTCTTCGCGAAGTAATGCGACCATCCATGGAAATTCACCGAATTGTGCCTCATGATCCTTTGCGCCAGTAATACGAAAACCCGCACCTTTGGGGTGTCTCCTGCCACACCCTTTCGCTTCTAGGTCTGGTTTCGGGGTTATGGGGACTGGAGATCTGTCTTTCGGCTCGCAGCAATGTGATAAATAATCACACGGACCATCGTCGATTCTAAGCAATGTAAATAAGGGCGAAATTACGTTTAGTTTATTAGTGGTTATAATGAGATTTGAATGGACCTACCGTATATCGATAACTCCAAACCCGTCATCGATGATGGTACCATTAGGTGTGCACAGATAATAGGGAACGCAATCACAGTTTCCCGTCCCGGGGACCTTGTCTTTTGGGGTTAAATCTGGACCTCTACTCTCCGTGGGTGGTTTCTTGAAGACAGTGTCAATTATATCATCAAGATCTTTACCACCTGCAGTTTGCCCCACAACTACGTTTAGCAAACAACATGCAAAAATCGGTATGACCAAAATCATTGTGAGACTGAAACATATTACCATAATTACATACGATTAATGCAATAACACCACTTACTGAATCGCTCAGTAAACGCGCTGTTACAATTCGACTGTTATATCAGACGCCGCAAGTTCGACACTGGAACACCTTGAATAAGCGTAGTTAATACCGTCAACGTCACGGACAAGTAGAAGAGTGGTATAAAGACGATAACTACGAAAAATTATCGCTAAGAGTTCTGTTTGCTGTACTTTGTTGAATGAAATTGAATCAGCTTAAAAACTGGGTGGGAGGGCTACTTTTTCCTTATCTAGAACATTTGACCTTATCTTCGATTGGATGATAACACAATACTTTAACATGGGAATTTCTATGATTTCTTCCTGTACAAGAAAATTAGAAGAATTGTTGAGTGAAAGTTTCCCAAATACCTTAACAATAAAATGCATGTCCAAGAACGTATAAACATTTAGTTAGTAAGTAGGTACCAATCGACTTGGAAATTCCATTATATCAAACGTAATGTAGATGTATACCAACGGTATATTATTATAGTAATGAAAACAATTTGCAATTCCCTAGACATAAAAAGACAAGCTCCATAGAATGTGATCGAAACATTATGTTGTTGACCTTTGTCAATAACCAGCTTTTACTGATGAATTCACAGCGAGATTCACAGTATTTTTATTGGTTTACTGACATTAGTTAATACTACTTACTGCTTTCTAAAAAAGTTCTTGGGCCGAAAAACACCTATGTATCTATTATAAGAGGATAGTAATATACGAGTACATGTACAATAGTAAACCATATTTAACGAAACGTCTACACTACACTAAACTATGCTGTGCTGCATATTTAATAAAATTCGTTCTAATGTTTTTTAGTTAGGTCTATTTGTTCTGAATATGATTTTTGGATTTTTTAAAAATTGAAACGGAAATATTATTATTATTTAAAATCTACCGTGTTCATCGGCTTTACGCGTCAACATTTACCTAGTTAAGTTAGTATAATAGTTATAGTAGTTAAAATAATAGTTAGTGCGTTAAATTTCGTTGGATTCAGACACATGCTCAATTATTAAAAATATTTTTATTCTACAGTCCAAGTGGTTATTGGACTACAGGAACTACCCGCTGCGTAATCATATTCATGAATTTTTCGTTTCGCACAAGTCGTTATTAACCGGTCCTTCGAGTTTTACACGTATAGAGGGGTACGATTTATCAAAAATAGCAGACAAGAAGGACATTTATTAATGTAATGCAATTTTCAGTTAAACCTTTTTACATAGGTCCTACTTGATGTACATGAAAATACATCTTTTTACATTTTCCTACCAAAATTAATGTTTCTTCTTGGATACTATGAAGACCAGAAGCACCAACACAACATGCGCAGCTATTGTATGACACCTACTACACTAGAGTATAACTCACACGGCGCTATTTTAAATGGGAAATGTAGGTATACCTATTCCACAAAATTGTATTTTTTATTGCAAGCAACATATGGATTATATGTAACAACTGTTCAAAAAACGTATACAGGTGGCTCAGGAAATGTGAAAACTTATTTGTTTTTAATGGGAACCCTCCCTTTAATCTTTATCCTTTACAGACAAATCGTGCTCAAGAAAATAAGGCCAGTTTGTAATTAGCTAATTGCATATTATACCTATATGTATACCTCCCTTAAATGAACGGTTTTCGGAGAAAAAGGAATAAACCGAAAATGTATACGACGTTGTCACATTTGTCTTTTTAAATCTACCAACAAACAAATATCGTTAGGTTAAAATACAAACCAGAAAACAACAACAAAGATCTAGCTAGCACACAGCAAGAAACAAAAACCTAAAGCAAATATAGACGATTTATCTTTAGCGACAGACGGACGGAAACATCAGAGCGTTGCACCAAAAACTATTGAACACGGCTCAATTCAATTGTAACGATGTTAGCTATTTTTGAATAATTTCACAAAGTGATATGAGGAAAAATTTGTGAACGATATGACGCGTTTATACACTGTGTCTAAGATATGGATGTCTGTCATAGGAATCTCCGAAACCATGAAAGATACGACGATGGTCAAATTAGAGAAAATATGCGCAATGGAAAAGTTATTATCCTGCTTTAAAGAGTTCCGATTACTTCCGAAGAAATGCTAAAAAAACCGAAATTTGCCGATTTGGTTTTTATTTTTTTCTTATATTATTTGAACAGACATAACAAACATTTTTTTTCACTACTAGCGTCTGATGACATGATTATTAACCTTTTTTCCATTCTTAAAGTGGGCTTTCTCGGCAGTTGTGCAAAGTGGTTAATAATGTGGACATTATCAACTAGTAGTCAATAATGAGAACTGTCACGCTGTCACTTTTAGAAAACACAACCAGGGCCGAATTAAGGTTTGTCCGGGCCCTAGGCAGAATGAAATTTTCGGGCTCCTTTTCATAAATTATAATAACTCGTGTTCCAGCACAGTTGTGTTAGTTGTGTACTTTTTCGCATATACGTTAAACCGTTCGTAGCTCCTTCTAAATATTAATTCAATTAACCGGGTCAAAATATGCCAAAAGTGAAAGACATCTATGTCTATCCGTCTACAAAAATATTTTATCGGACTGAAGGCAAAATTTTTTAATTGCAAATTTGGAGAAATACATAATTGTTAATTGTTTTTCCGATACCTAATTAGAGTTAGTTTCGTCATAATCATGTTTTATTGAGGAATAAAGGTTTTTTTGTGTGGATGGTTGATTGTGCATTTGTTTGCTTACTTTGCCCTTTTTTCAGCTTTTTTGCCCGTTTTGATGCATATAATAAGCGCTTATTTTATAAAAATAAATGCGTTTTTATCCGCACTCTAATCATTATTTAATATAGTTTCGCACCTTACACTCCTCGGCGCAAGCGCCTCGAGATGTAATCTTGGTGCTCAGGCAATAATACTGTAATTCTCTACCTTCATATATAATATACTATTTCTTCTCCTATACTTTAATTCATAAAATATTAAACATTTGCTACCTGTACTTAAATGATAGATTTTTCATTAACATACAAGTTTACGACCAATAGGAATGCAGCATCACGGGAACATGACGCATAATTTATGAAAATCAAAGTTGCCATAACAATGACAGGTCTAATAGTACATTATATATCAAGGTAGAGAAGTACAGTATTATTGCCTGAGCACCAAGATTACATCTCGAGGCGCTTGCGCCGAGGGGTGTAAGGTGCGAAGGCAATAATAGACTTCTCTACCGTGGTATATATACTATTTTTTTCACTACTAGCACTTGAAGTCCTCTAAATTAACATATTATATTGATAAGAAAGTGAACGGTTGGACAGAATTGTTTGTTTATTAATTTAACATGTCAATCAAGTACGTAGAAGTACAAGTCAAACAGGCCGTATTTTGTTCTGTCATTGAGATATTTTCAAAGAGTAATTTCGTTCGAATTTTTTCAAAATGTGATAATGGGGGTTTACAGTATAGTTGAATTCCGCAGTTCTAATTTAATAAGCGTGTACCTGAAACCATAAAACATTTTTTTGGACAGTAAAAGTTTATTTAAAAATAGAGGCTGATTAGCAAAAAAATAATGAACATGTGCGGTTTTAAAGGTTTATTCAAAACGATATGATTGTGGCGGGCTCTGTGACGTAATAAGCCCGACCAATCAGCTCCTAGAACCATTCAGATGACATAACGACTTGGCAATATTGCAGGAGAATGGCATTTATAACTTGCGTCATCGGTCACAGGCACTTGTCACTTTCGTGCTAGATCACAGCCGTCTATAATTACAAGCCGTGCTGAGAATTATGGCAACACTGCATGGTAGGCTGATTTCCTAATTCAACTTGACAGATTTTGAGTGTATTTTATATGTGTTTTGGGTGTAATATTCCTATTTACCCGTTTTAACAGAGCGAGATTGCGACAATTTGCGTTACTCCCTACGAAATGAACAGAAATTATTATTCAGGAAAGTTGCTAAACGAAATATATCGATTTGTTGTCATAACCTCTAAAGCAGGCTACTCCTTACTGGACCCTTTACAAGCACTTTTATTTGTTCAAAGTATCTGTAAGAAGCTCAAATATGACCTACACACTACCTGGTACGTAAGTACGGTAAGTGTTTATCGTGAAAAAATACAATTAGTTTGTATTTCAGGTATTCTAGCACGGACATGTCAAATCCATTTTCTCTGAAGGAACCTTTCAACTTATTCCCAAGAGTTCATGGTACGGGAATTTGAAGTCTATGGGGCTCCCATCTTTAAAAGCTTCGTACCTAGACCTAGACTCACTGGAGTAGCGACTGGCTTAAAGTCTTCCATTCCGAATCACACCTGGTCGTTGATATAACCTCGCTGATGCGCAGCGATTTACTGTCCTTTTACCGAAATTAAGTGCTCAAGCGTGTGCTTCACCTCGACCTCTTTCGACAGAAGTTCACCAATTTCGGAGATCTCGATGGAAAACACATTATGATACAGTTACCAATTTACAGCGTTCCGCATTTTAAAGTCAAATAAAAATGTTATTATCCATTTTTGTAAATAAATAATATATATGCACAATTGTAAGCTGCCTAAGTATCTTTCTTCTATATTAAAACCGCCAAGGCGAAACACAGGGGAGAAGAAAATGCCATTTTTCAAGAGCAACAAGACGCCATTAAAACTTACATCGGCCCACCGATTGAGTTTCGAACAACGTTGGCCGTTGCCAAACTTCTCAGCATGGCTTGTAATTATAGACGGCTGTGGCTAGATGCAGTTAAACATCCCTCTCAAAACGTCAAATGTGACAAACGTCAGACCCTCGCGTAAGGTTGCCAGCTCACTTCTACGTGATTGGTTGTGGGTTTGTGACGTATTTAGTCTGAAGCGTTTCAAATTCGGACTAAAAACACAGCTTTTCAATAATTTATTTTGGGTTTATTTTACTCGCAAATAAAAATTGAGGACACACGGGTCTTTTTATTTTTTATGTACTTTGTGGATCAGAAATAAAAAATGAGGGCGGAATTTTAGGTATATGTAATTTCTCTGGAAATTGCGATGATGGCAATTATTCATTTTAGAGAACTTGTCCAAACGTTTATTGAGCGAAATTTCGGGTTGTTTTTTCTAAAAGTGACAGCGTGACAGTTCTCATTATTGACTACTAGTTAATAATGTCCACATTATTAACCACTTTGAACAGTGAATAGTACATTATATATCAAGGTAGAGAAGTCCACTATTATTGCCTGAGCACCAAGATTACATCTCGAGGCGCTTGCGCCGAGGGGTGTAAGGTGCGAAGGCAATAATAGACTTCTCTACCGTGGTATATATACTATTTTTTTCACTACTAGCACTTGAAATCCTCTAAATTAACATATTATATTGATAAGAGAGTTAACGGTTGGACAGAATTGTTTGTTTCTTAATTTAACATGTCAATCAAGTACGTGGAAGTACAAGTCAAACAGGCCGTATTTTGTTCTGTCATTGAGATTTTTCAAAGAGTAATTTCGTTCGAATTTTTTCAAAATGTGATAATTTTAGGTATGTAATTTCTCTGGAAATTGCGAATGGTGGCAATTATTCGTTTTAGAGAACTTGTCTAAACGTTCATTGAGCGAAATTTCGGGTTGTGTTTTCTAAAAGTGACAGCGTGACAGTTCTCATTATTGACTACTAGTTAATAATAAAAAATTATTAACCACTTTGAACAAATGCCGAGAAAGCCTACTTTACAAGTGGAAAAAAGGTTAATAATCATGTCATCAGACGCTAGTAGTGAAAAAAAAAACTTATTACTTTTGACAACTGATGGACAAATCGGTGGTTCGTTTTCTTATGAATTATGGCCGTTTACACCGACAAATTTAAGTTGATCTTAGCTTAAGGATAGCTTAAAATCCATGGGAACTATTATTGAGACAATGGTTGCCATGGATTTTAAGCTACGCTTAAGCTAAGCTCTGCTTAAATTTGTTGGTGCAAACGGGCATTAATTATGTGTGTAGAAATAGCTATTTCGACACTTCATGTGTTCTAACCGCCAATTTTCAATTTTCTTCCATAGATCATCCCCTTTTTGCAATGAACGTCTTTTTACCTCTAGTGACAATAACTTCGTCAACGGTCGACAAAGACAAATCACCAATTGCACACACGTACACCATGTTTAACACCCTGAAATTAATCTACGGCAACACTGACTGTAAGGAGTCCGTTAACTTGCCCCCCCCCCCCCCACTAGAGATTTGATTGTCACACTATTACAAAGTAATGCGCTCGTTATGTGTTCACATGCGCCACCGATAATAATTCTTGCGGCAATCCGAAAATACATCTGGGAGGAGCCAAGTATACGTTATACCATTGAATAAAAACACTATAAGAAGCCTAACGCTTATGGAAGAAAGCGCGACAAATCTCACAAATCCTTGCACCCGCATTGGTTGTGACCGCCGAACTCTCTTTGCGGTAAATAGGAGGAAAGCAAATTCTCATTCTTCTCAGTTCAAGAATCGACTCTATTGACAGTGTTCCCATTATATTCTCAGTTCAAACTCTGTCGCGCTTTATTTCCACGGGGTTAGGCTTCTTATAGTGTTTTATTCAATGGTTATACGTAGTAGCGCATAAGCAGATGTATCTAGTGGCACATATACCGATAGCAAGCTTGGGCCCTCCCAAATATATTTAGGGATAACCAAAAAACAAAAAATATCTTTTTACGGCGCATTTTAGCGCATACCTAGGGGTACAATTTAGTATCGAAACTTGATAGAAAAATGTAAATTTCAAAAACGTTAAGTTGCCCTCCTTTTTTGAAAATTTGTCAAAGCTTAATCGTGATGGCGCTAGCTTAAATTCAAGTGGCGCAATTGAGCGCATACATACATACAGCGACAACATACGTTGGGGGGGGGGGGGCTATGTATACTTCGCCCCTCCAAATCTCTGTTTTCGGATTGCTAAAAAACGATCATGGCGCAAGAGTTATTATCGGTGGTGCGTGTGAGCGCATTACTTTATAATAAAAGGACCATCAAATCTAAGTGGGGGCAGGTTAACGCTCCTGACTGCAAGTAGGTACGAAATGAACGGAAAATTGACATTACCAATGGATATATTTGTTCCAAATGTCAGAATCGCCCTTTGTGAGGTACCCTCCTACGCCACCCCGCTTTTGAGATATGAAGAATTATAACCGACCACGACAAGACGTCGATAAGAAGAACTGTTGTTGGTAGAAATTAATTCATATCGTTGAGACCTTTTATTAGAGTACTATAAATCGGTTTTGTGGTTCAGTGGTAGCGCGTTGAGCTATAAATCCGGAGGTCGGGTGTTCTAACCTAGGTTGAGGTGAATTTTTCATCTGTGGCAGAGATGGGAATTACCTTCGACCAGTTTCGAGCATTCTGCGGGCTACTCCGAATTAGGTTTTCCTGCAGTAAGGTAAATATCGGAGTAGTATAGAACAACTTAAGACCTTCTGCAAAGGCACCTTTAAAAAGCATTATGCCGGTCACTCTGTAATTGGGCCCATAACAAGAGAGGGATAATAAATAAATAAATAAAAAATAAAAGTATAAAGGATAAAACCAGTTCCTCCCATCCACCACCAGATTTGATATTAGAGGTAAGGGAAAGGGGCGGTAGTTGGTAGAAAGCGGTTCCTTTGTTTGAGACCTGTAGAATACTTTGACAGATAAAACCAATTTATTCCCTTCCTCCCCTCCAGCCACCTGCTGATCTCAAAAATGAGTCACAGAGTACAGGTAGATATAGTTTGTAGAAAGCAATTTGCCTTTGAGTAGGTATGTAAATGTGGCACACATTTAATTGCGGTTGACGCATATAGAACCAACCAACTCCATCAGAACTCTTTAGACAATTTCCCGACGAACAAAATGCACACAATACTTATAGTATAAAATATATTATTACATATTATTACGTCATAAGTGAAATTATAGTGCGTATTAAAAGTGAGTAGAAAAACTGCGCACGATTGGCGGCAATTCTATGAACTTGTAATACGCAAATTATAACCGAATTACGTATCATCAACGGTATCATATTTTTTCTGTGACCTCCGTCGATTTCGAAATGAAAAACACAAAACGACATCTATTGACAGTTCTGGCATTTGTAGATAATTATCACTTCCAAACGTACGTCATCTATTCAAATTTTTTTCATTACGCACGGGTGTAGGTAATGGCCGGGTGCCTCTAAATTATACGTTATGATCTCCTTTTCCGGGAGGTCGTAGAAAAACACATTTTTTAAACTTACAAAATGCGCGAAATACCAAGGACTGTCAGATAACGTTGGCACATTTATTTATGATGTCTGTAAAGCAATGTTAAAAATAATAACAATTCTTGACTAAAACAAAAAAATTATAGTAATGATAGTGCAAATGTATTACATTGTGAAGGTAATCAGAAATCTACTACAAGCAAGTGCATTTACGTTTTATAAGAAGAGGTATCAAAATTATGAGACAGCATGATTTTATCAATCCAATCAACTGCTTTTGCTACATGTGCATATACTCCTGGAACTAAATCTTCACCACAGCCAATTCCCCAAGCAACGATTCCAGCTTGAAAGTATTTATTCTTTTTACCCTGGATCGGGCAAACTAGAGGACTACCGCCATCTCCCTTACATGTATCTTTCCCCGGTTGCCCACCAGCACAAATGAGAGATTCGTGTAGCTTAAAATGTGGACCCAACCGAGTCTTTTTTCTAAATCTCTCTTGACATATTTCTCTGTTCACAATTGGAAGGTCAATTTTTTTCAAAATTACTTGGTATTTTCCCTCCTTTCCGAAAACGTCCTTTCCCCATCCACTTGCATAACATGGTAAATCGTCTAACCTCTCGTTCTTGCCCGGTAAGCACACCACGTCTACATTTTCGGTTATATTGAACGGCGAATCCAAGATTAATAGCGCAAAATCATAAAACAGCGCTCCTCCATAGAAGTCTGGATGTATCACAATATTAGTGACTTCCCTATCTTGATGAGGATAAATTTCATGTTTGGTTTGAGTGTCCCATTCCCCTGCGCGCACTTTATAACGTTTCTGCTTTTCAGGCACGCAATGTGCAGCAGTAAGAACTACCTGCGGGTGAATAAGGGAAGCTCCGCACTGATAAATTAGCAGCTTCTTTGGGTTTCCCTCAATCGTTTCTTCTTTAAGTAGCGCAACCATCCAGGGAAATTCTCCAAATTGAGCTTCATTATCTTTTGCTCCAGTGATACGAAAACCTACCCCATCAGGATTCCTCTTACCGCAACCTTGACGTGTGTAAGTTTCTGTCGGTGGAGGCTTTTCGATTTTATCTTTAGCAATGCAACACCGTGATAAATAGTCGCACGGTCCATCATCAATTCTACAAAAAAATGCATCCAATGTAAAGTTATATACAATCTCTGCTAATTTATGGCGTTATTAAATCAAAGAGTAACTAACTACACGTTATATAGGTATTCAACAAGTATTGATCAATGAATTTAACAATTCAAAAACCTAAACCGGTGCAATTTACCTACATTAAAGGTGGATTCTCACTTGCGCAGCACTCAGCTTGGCCACGCGACGCGATATCGCGCTGCGAAGCGTCGCCAAAAAAGATTTCATGCTTTTAAATGCTAGACTACAATATACGACACCACGCAAAATCTTTATTTAGCGGCGTCGTGTCGCGTCATCGAGCTGAGTGTAGCGCAAGTGAGAGTCCACCTTAAGATTTACAATAAGTAAATCAAAAGCATTGAATAACGAAATTTTTCACTCAACGATTTAAGTAACCAGTTAAGAAAATTAGTACCTACCTGATATCAATGATTCCTAATCCGTCTTCCACAATAGTTCCATTCATGCAAAGATAATACGGAACGCATTCACAATCACCAGTGCCGGGCACAGAGGCTGGACCTTTTTCAGTAACCCCAGTCTCTGTGCCACCAGAATAACCCGGCGGTTTTGTGAAAAGCTTATTCAATATATCATCCAAGTTTTGCCCGCTGGCCTCCTGAGACTCCACAGTTCCTGGCAAACAAAATGACAATATGCATATCAGTGACGCAGCCAGCCTAAAACGAAATCATACAGTGATGTTGACATGAATTTATTAAAAATAACTTACCACATTTCTGGAAAGATATTAGAAAAATAGGCACCGCTTTATTTTAATAGGTACTCGATTACCTTGAAGAGCAGCTTTAAAAGTGTTGTGAATAAACGCAATTAACAATGAGGACGTCAGGGACGAATTGTGGTATGTATATTTAGGTAATCTTGCGGGAAATTCTGAGCAACGATCGAATTAATCTGTTACAGAATGGAGTAGGGTCAAACCATTCCACTATCATTTGACCCGGCGTCCCATTGGTTGCTATTCGTTCCTGTCATGTCTACTTATGAACTCGGTAATTTTTGCACACTTTTTTATGCTTACCACCTTTTTTTAAATGGTACGACGATACGCCATAATGTATTTGTATACTACAACCGACGGTTTATACTAGGTAGGTGTCTAGAGTATTCTTTTCAATGGATAGACAGCTATCTAATTTGGGAAGAATAATTAAAATTTAGTATTGATATAAATATTGTAATCAAAGATTATATCAATTAATAAATTAATAAATAATATATAAAGAATATTCTTATACGTATGTAATTATATAAACTTATTTGAAGGTTCCACTCTATAGATTTCGGCGAATTGATAAATAACCTTGTACTGGTGCAAATTATATTTGCAATCCAAAAAAAATCGCGTTCCAATAACATCAGTACCTAAACAATGCAATATTGCAAATGCAGGGACTTTACACTTTGAGTGAGTGAAGGGGATTCCTTCACCCAACGCTTTACCTACATTTACCGACCCGGTAGCTAAAATAGGTGCTTCACCTTCAATTACTATTCTGCGAAGTTGGAGGTTACCTACATACATGATGATTATATGTATAGATAGGTACGTCATTTTTAAATTAAATAACTCAATGTAAGATCTCTTTGTTTTTAGTACTTGGTATGGAAGAAATTCACTAGGTATAGTATTCGCCCTTTGTCCACCTGCCTCTGTCTTTACGTAGCGTAGCCCATGTTGTTCACATCATGCGTGTATCACGCAATTGCTTCCGTCAAATCGAGGAAGGAAACAACCAAATAAAATGTACAGTTTCTTGTAGACCACCCTTATTTACAAAATGTTTTTGGATCGGGCCGATGCACCGAACTTATAAATTGATAAAACCCGCTGTTGCGGCGCATTTCAAATAGGTACTCTTTCTAAGTTTGCAAACAAATTGTTATACAAAGATGAATCGCATACGATTTCCAGTAAGGGAATTTTTTGACACGCAGCACGCATTCGGAAATACCGGCTCGTATCGATAGTACTGATCCTTGAACCCGTAGAAATCGATTGGAGAAGATTTAGCTGTCTCATTTAGTCATTTCGTTCTCGAGTTAAACGACGAACAGACGGACAGGCGAAAAATTCCTAAAAAATATAAAGCTATTGACATTTAATTTGCACCTAATAAAAAGTTGAGCACCTCTTATGACACTAGGACCTTAGGTCGATTTTCTACCGCTTTTTTTTAATTGAGGGGAAATTGAGAGATGAGATTTTGTAGGGCAAATTTCGACCTGCATTTCCTGTGAAGCGTCATTCAAGGTCTTCTTATTAGCATACACACTATGTAATTGAATTTCCAAACGAAGTTACTGCTGGAAAATTTACTTATTAATCTCACCTATGAAAATTGGGAGCTTATTGAAACCACTCCAAATTTCGATTTTGAGATTCCACCGGATCGTTACGTTTTAAAGGTCCCAGGAGTCCAAAAAAAGAGGTTCCGACCGATTTAGTTGAAATTTGGTACATGAGAGCTGATAGGAATTTGGTAGCGATTTGAAAATGGCAAATGCATCAGGGATTTCAATGCTAATTTCTTAATATCGACATATTTTCTACCTTAATTAATTTACCTAGAGCAAAGTTGTAAATATTTTACAATCTACAACAAATTTATTTATCTGTTACTCAGTTGTAAACGTTGATTAACAAGACAAAACGCAAACGGGTAAACGTCATGTTTAAACGCTACTGACTTGTAAAACTGACAGCAGACCTGTAAAACTGACAGCAAACCTGTAAAAATTTTACAAGTTAGTAATCTAGTTATTTCATTGGCCAGAATTAATGCGAAGTCTCTGTTACATGGATAACATGATATTTTAGACATTTCTTCAAGATTAATTTAAGAACTAATTATTTACGTTTACTATTGTTTACAAATGAGTAACAAATAAAATATTGTACATTATACGCCAGGTAATAGTTTTTACTGGCTCTAGGAGATGACAAGCTCGCCTAACGGCTCGCCAGTCAACTTCTCCTATCGCCAGTAAAAACTCACTTACCTGGCTAATAATGTAAAATACTATTACAACTATGCTGTAAAATAATTAGGGAAGAAAATATTTCAATATAAAGAAATTACCATTGAAATCCCTATGGTGCATAAACAAATTCTACACCATGTATATTCAAAACTGTTGGGTAGGTATTGGTTTTTGGTTTATTAATATCAATTTAATATTCTTGCGGTACGGCAATATAAGGAGCGGTTTTTTTTTGGAATATTTCAAGGCAGGTTTCAAGGTTAACGCATTGATAAAATCAATGACATTCAAATTGAATTTATTTTTGGCAGTGTACAAATATGCAAGCAAGGTTATCATAAAGTAACGGATTATTTTTTATCAGGTACAAAGGCTATTAGCCATGCGACAAGATATTTTGCATTTCAATGGATGTAGATACACAGCGAGTGATTTACAGCAGAGGTCATTCAAATCTATTAGCATTAGTTTTAATAAAGAATGCTATTCGTTAAAGTGTCTGCGCGTGAAGATATACAGGGTGACAATTTGAAAACTTACCACCCCCCCATATCTTAGTAAATAAACGAGATATTAAAAAAAATCAAAATCCGTTTCATTAATTCGGAGGGGGAATTACAATGACATAGTTGGCGACGCATCCCCTCACACCCCCTGCGCCCCAGCCACCCCAACTTTTAAATCTTAAATAGTGACCCCTCATGTGTGATACGTCGTTGGAAAGCTCTGAAAAAATAGCATTACATTTAGGTTAGTAATTATCGTGCAAATCAAAAAATAAACTAATATGATACATTTGAAATCTGTCGTATTTAAAACGCAACCGGCGAACATAGACGAACTAAGACAGAGAATAATTCAAGAATGTCGAAATATTGCAAAACCAACATTGGAAAGGTTCGACAAGAGTTTGAGAATAGATTATAACTGGCGATCAAAAATGAGTTGCTGTCGAGTCGGCTTTGGAAGTTCAAGTTAAATACGATTTTCCATGTTTATTTTTTGATTTGCACGATAATTACTAACCTAAATGTAATGCTATTTGGTATGGTTGGAAAGCATTTTTTCAGAGCTTTCCAACGACGTATCACACATGGGGGGTCACTATTTAAGATTTAAAAGTTGGGGTGGCTGGGGCGCAGGGGGTTGGAGGGGGTGCGTCGCCAACTATGTCATTGTGATTCCCCCTCCGAATTACCGAAACGGATTTTGATTTTTTTAAATATCTCGTTTATTTACTAAGATATGGGGGGTGGTAAGTTTTCAAATTGTCACCCTGTATATGAGGGATGTTTTAGCAATAATTGATTAAAATTTTAAAACTAAGTATGTACCTGCATAGCACAGCGTTTGTTCCTCTCTGCACATCACGGAGTACAAAAACCGATACAACTGAATACCGAACGAACCTCGAGATCTTCACACACATTTCATTTTTACAATATACCTTAAGGGGTTGATTCTATCTCACCAAATCAGCATAACATGAAGAACATACTTTTTGAATCGGCATTAGTTTTACTTTATTGGAGGTGCATACACAGAAAATTTCATGTAATCACCTTAACAAATGAAAAAACCGAGTCCGCATGCGCAAAACAAATTTTTTAATTCGGCATTAGTTTTACTTTAATTTGAGGTGCCTACATACAAAATTTCATTTAAATATCTTAACAAATAAAAAAACGCAAATGCGCAAATACAAAAGTTGGAATGCGCATGCGCAATATTTTTTTTTGAATTTGCATAGTTGCCTGAGGTTTAAGAAATGTTTACTAACACAGAAAACCCGACATTCATATTGGAGGTTTGTGCAGTTTTTTGGGCTGTAACTTTTTGGCCCGTTGGTCTACGTAGCCAAAAAATAATAGCGACCTTTCTTACATAAGAATATGTGTATCAATTTTCAAAGCGATCGGACGTTTCTACACAAAGTTATCGTGCACATGGATAGACTGACGGACAGACAGACAGCCGGACTGACAGATGGGCATCTTTCGAAAAATTCCCCAAAAAATGAAATTTTGTTCACCTCCCCCCCTGAAAAGTAATCACCGGTTTTAAGCGTCTCTATGACAGTCAGGGTGCACTACTGGGGCTGTGATCACTGTCTAGAGGCGTGGGGCGTCATTAACACTTATAACGTTATGACGCCATAAAGATGACGGCCGTGCAATTGTATGATTCGATTTTTAAGAAAACAACCCGACGACTTTTTATTCTAAAGGCGCGTACAGACATGCAACAGATCATCGTAACGTAACTCCGCTCTGCAACATTTTTCGTTGCAGGGCGAAGTTACGGTGTCATTGGATTGCGAGGTGCAACAAAACACCGCTATGCAACATTGGTGCGAAACATATTACCGTGACGGTGGATACCGTCCCATCAGTTTCTAATTTTTTTTGTTAAAGAATGGACGTTGCTGCTGCAGCTTGTATTGTAATTCACTATTTAGTGCAAAAAAAAACGCCGATAAAGGCGCAATTTTTACCCATGTGTCGTTTTTTTTTAAATTTTATTATAATAAAAGGGGTGTTTAGTATCCCACAAAATTTCTTTTTCGTACTTCCGAGACTAAAGTGACAACTTCACTCCATTATGACAAGTACTAAAGTGTCACTTTTTGTCCCGCCGGGATTAAATTTGGATGAAAATCCCGGAAGGATGAAATTGCCCACAGCGGCAAAATTGTAAGGGCGGCAAATTTGGAGGAAAACAGAAAAATTAAAATGCGTTCAAATTTTTTAGGTAAACGGTGAATCGGTGAATGAAATGAAGCAAAAATAAAATCTGTTAGTACATTCATTGCATTGCAAATATAGCCAATGAATGCCTTACTTTCCCCACCTTGTAATAATGGTGATATAGTGATATGTCAAGGGCGGCAAAAAATGTTTGTCCACAGCGGCGGAAACCCTAAATCCGGCACTGCAGGTAAGTGAAACATTACATTCTTAATTGTTTATTTAATTTATAATTTTGTTTTCAGAAACATGTTTTTATTTTTACGCAGGTGAACTTACCCCGAATTTTCCGTACCCATTATTAATAAACCTTTTTACTAATTACTATATTTTGTTATTACTAGAATTTGTTTTGTTAGTTTTATAATAAGTTTTTTAAAATAAAATAATGCACGTTCAAATCCAGCCGCGAGACGAATCCGCTAAACGTGCGACTTCGTCGCGCCGTTGGCTGCTCAACAACGCTGCACTACGTCTCGCAGCGCGACTGAGCAGTGCTGCTAAGTCGTCCAGTGTGCCGAAGTACTTAGGATTTTTTCAATTGCTTTCGCTACATTCGTTTCCAGCTACTTTTCGATGCCTAATGTCAGACTGTTATCTGTCATGATACTGTTTTAGTGTTTTTTATAGGAATATCATGGCACCATGGCACGTACTTCAAATTTGTCAACCAGTGACGTCTTTAGAAACCCGGGAGCATATCTATTAGCGGAAACCTTAGACCATAATAGTACATGGACTGCTAATTGTAACTAAAATATGGTCAAGGACATCGCCTGGGTAAACGAGTCTCTCCGAAGTTGTCCGATTAGACACGATTTGAGACTGTCAACCTATAAATTAGCAAACGTCAATTAATTAATCGTCTAGATATGGCAAAAAAAGCAAAGCTGTTCTTATTTGTGGACGTATAGAAGATAATCAAGTTTATTTAAAGCTTCCCGTACTACGCGGTTACTATAAAAGCTACTCTTTACGCGATCTGAATGGTGTTTACACGACTTTTACCCTGAGATTCACATACCCACGACTACAGTGCCCTCTATCCGTGACCACCCACTTTGTATTGAAAGCATAGGGCCATTGAACTTATAGAAATTCAATGATAAGGACTAATAGCAGTCCATGTACTATATGGTCTAAGGCGGAAACCCAGCTTAAATAGTAAGTAAGCTGTGAAACTCGATGCAACATGGCCGCTGATCTTAACGGCCAATCAAAAAGTAGGGTTCTAGATATATGTGTCTCAAGTCTGTTTTTTTCCGTAACCAGTTAACCACATGGCTGACTAGTTGTGTCGCGACAGTTGTTGAATCATTAATCATTTTTCCCTCTCCCCCTTTATTCCCATTATCATTGTAAATTAGCTACACCATACATCACGTTTTGGTACCTATTCATGACTTTTTACTTCTTTTTCACACATATTAATTGACAAATTACATTGCTATAATGAATTTTTTCAATGAGCGAGTTTGCGGACACGTATTTTCCGTTACGTTAGACGGCCATTTTTTCTTATGATATAACGTAAGGAAATTTAGTGAAACGCGCTTGCGGATAAATTTATTGTTGCTGGAATTTGATTGGTTTACGTTATTTCTAAACATAAGGTATAATAGTGTCTTTATACGGTATAACTCTTAAGCTTTTTTACGTTATAAGATATAACGACAAGTTTTGTAACGTAAAATGTACATCCGCAAACTCGCTATTAGAACCGAAACCGTTAGAAATATTTTCGCTTAAATATAAACAGAACCGGAACCAATGTTTCATTTGAGTCCGGGTCCCTGAAAATAATACTTACAAATCATTTTGGAATTGTAGGCATCTTAATGGTATTTAGTGGTAACAGGAGACCCATCCCTGTAGGGGGCGGTTTTCTGCTGATTCAATTTGTAACGTAGATACACATTCTCTTACTAACTGATTTTCACATTTATTCATTGTTTTGTTATATGGTACTCACCTTATTGTTACTTATCTACTAAATTGGTTTATACGCCCCTATAACCTGATGCCCTCGAAATGTTTATCAATCTTTTCAGTGTATGTATGTATATCAAAGATAATTAGTATATGCAACCTAAAGAAAAAAAAAAAGAGGCCCCAAAAATTCTCATTGCTTACAGCCTCCTAGGTCATAAATCCGATTCTGCTAATGTCTGGTCTGAAAGGTGGTCGAACAAAATTTGTCAGTCCATGTTGTGGTGATTTGACAGAAAAATACAATTAAAATTACTGACGTTCATGATATGTACTTAGACAGACAGACTTTCGATCTCTCACACTGCACACATCTGTAAATATTATTCTGGCCCCCATCCGTTTGATCATTTAATTCTTCTGGGACATTTGCAAGGGTGGATGCAGAGCGAAGGTGACGCCCCCCCCCCCAAGCGGTAATGAATTTTGTTCCTTAAAAATAATACAATGTAGTAGAAGTTTTGATCTGATAGGTTCCCATGACAACTTATTTTCCATTTGTTTATGCATTATAAAATGAAAGGCACTAGTTTATTAAAAATTTAATAAATAAAAAACTACAGTAAAAACTAGCTTAAATACAATATTTTAGTGTCACATGATACACGCAGGTTCTTTAAAAAATTGATAATTGTTGAACACATTTCATGCTAAATTAAAATCAACTCTCATAATTAACATTCTTTTTGTATGTATGTTACTATCACTATTATTATTTACAATACAGTTCAAATTCCTTATCGTTAGAGTCTTGTGCATCATGTAGCACTAACTAATTAATTCTATACGTAATATTAATTATTCTTTAGAATGTAGTCCTAAAACCAAAAAGGATATGTACTTAAAATCCAGATCGATAGATACATAAAATAAATCTATTTATAATATATGTAAAAAACACAAATATTAGGCACTCAACAAATAATATATGATCTGTTTATGTATGATGTAGTAGGAAAACATGAACCCTTAGCTTATATGCTTGATATAAATATATGACAATCCTAAACCTACGAACAATACATAGGTACATAAATAATATTCTAAAAATAGACTTACATATCTAAGGGGCACGATACTCGCCCTGTACAAATAATAATGCACACAAAATACAAATACTGAGAGGAGAGCAGATATTTTACCAAACGACCTACTAGTTAAAGCACTAATGTAGGATTGCAATGTTAATTCAGTGCGTCAGAGGGTCCACGGGACTCTGTGATATGTTCCTAATACTAGACTACAACTGCCAATATTGCGCAAATGTAATATACAGTGTTATTTCATAACAGACAATTTGGTATTTTCGATATCACTACAATGTTTTTCATTCTATTACGTTTAACTAAAAATAAAATACAACGAAACAGTACAAAATTTACTTTGGTCTGTATAAAATACTAAAATTGGAAATGTTTAGAAGAATATAGTTATTTCTGTATTTGATCCGAATTATTAGATTGCGAACTGGAATGATCCGAATTGTTATTCATCTTTCCAATCAGTCCTTCCAATTTTTCCTTTTTAATAACCGTCACGTCAGGACAGTTTGCAAGTACCGAAGTGGTAGCGTTACTTGTCGACGATGCTGGAGAATTATTTGAAGATTTCATATTTTTATATACATTTATATTTGAAGGCAGATCGGGTAAAATACTATCTCCATCTTCGTCTGATTCTCCGTCATCGTACTTGTCAATGCTTCCGTGGGGAGTCATTGTTTCGTTATCGAGCTGTGACATCGAAATTAAATAGTTCGATAACGTTTGCGGCGTAACATTTAACTGTTCTGCTGCACGAAATAGTGTTACTTCCTTTCTCTTCAATTTTAAAAGGATGTCTGTTGGACCTTGCTCACTCCAAAAATCTCTTACTCTACATGAAATCAAAATTAATTAATATTCGTTTGTACAAACTCGTCTTAAATAGATCAGTCAAGTCATGCGGTGTACTATAAATAAAATTCTATCTATTTGTCCTCTTCTGTTCATGCTTTTTTAAATAAAACCATACAAAAGTAATCAAAAATGTAAGCAGAGTTCCAAGCAAACTGAATATATACAACTGAAAGGTCCTAATAATCCCAAGGGCTAGTTAGTATCTTCTCGCTATAGAACAAAAATTTAGAATAAAAACACAGGACACATAATATAAGCTTTGATGTTTTTATGTAGGTAATGTGAGTGTTAATATATGATTGATAAGTATAAAATATAATATGATTAGTAATTTGCGATATTGAGTGAATAAAAAATATCATTTCAATTATACAATAATCATGTGCAATCCAAACTTATTTCCAATTGAATTGTACATTTTCAAATTTTTAAAAGGAACAATTAGAAGGTACTAGCGGGAAAACTATAATATGGCTCAAGCCACGGCTTGGGATTTGTACTGGAAATAACCACTTGCATCAGGATTTTGAAAGTTCCCACATTTTTGGGTGAGTGATAAAGTATGTCACCAACTCTCAAATGAAACATCCGACATTACACCCATGTGAAGATCAAGAATACCAAACCATTGAGACACAATAACTTTAGATGTGACATACAGCGCTTTTACCAGTTTATATAATTCATAATTAGGTTCTTTTTCAGCTTTATAATAATTTTGTTGCAGTGATACAGTTCTTGTAAAATTGTTCTCCTTTTACGACTGATTTTCGTGTAGGGATTAGTTTAATTGAATACTTAAATGCAAATTGGTTTTCAGATTAAAATAATAGTTTTGGGTTCATACTGCGGTGTTTTTGCTATTTCCCCTTTTTTATCAAAATTATAAAATAAGTAAGGTGGTTCATTATGATATGAAAATTCTGCATAAGTGGGAGGAATAGAAGTTGCGATGCTACAAAGATGGAAATGCGAATTATTGGTATCGTCCCACAAGAAAATGAGTGCTACCATTTTCTAGTCCTAAGATGAAGCTTTGCCACTTTTGGTGAATTGAAGCTGAAACAGATGAAAAGAAAAATTCACAACAAAGCAAAAGCCTCAGAGTCCTTCGAATGTTTTACAAGTAAGGTTCGTTATTTTTTAATTTTTTATGGAAAGTCATTGTTATTTTACTTATCATTACTGCCTATTAATAAAGGTCATAAACCATATCTATAGAACCGATAATTGACAGCGTGGGGAAAAAAGATTTTGTTAACAAAACCGCTGGAAACTATTTTTAAGTTTCTAGGTTTGCCGCTAGAGGGCGTACGATACATGACTCGAAAACGTAACAGTGTTACCTACCAGTATACCATTGACTCAATTCCAATTACTCGAAACAATAATAATAAGGATCTAGGGGTTCATTTTGACAGCACTTTTACTTTCTCGAATCATATTAGACAAATATGTAGCTCCTCCACAAAAACGCTAGGTTTTATTTTACGTAACTGCAAGTCGTTCACGAATACAGACACTATAAGATTTTCTCTCTTGTACGAACGAAACTTGAATACTGCTCTCTTATATGGTATCCGCTGTACGCTTATCAGACAGCTAACATTGAATCTGTGCAACGTAAACTACTAAAATACTTAGCATTTAAAAGTGATGGAGTTTATCCTGCTAGAGGCACCAATCACGTAAATCTTTTACGCCATTTTAATTGTCAGTCACTTGAAAAATGAAGAATCCGATCGAGCCTCTCATTTTTATTTAACCTATTACACCATAACACCAAAAATCAGCTAACCCTTTATACATCTAAACCACGAACTTCCATTTTATCACGTTCTCCAATTACGATCACAAGCAGAAACTTCACTATTTGCCAGATGTGTGACATACACGCTGATAGCTTCAAATTTATTCTGGAATTAATATAACACTATGTCCTTCTGTTTTGTTATTTTCTTTATGTATGTTAGGATCTATTTTATTAGTTTGGAATTTTTTTTCTTTTTTTGTTTAAGTATCTATACTTTGTCCTGTAATTGGGCGATAAACCTGTAGGGTAATATATAAATAAATAAATAAATAATAAATAAATGATAAAGGTATTAATATATCTATGGATTAAGTAGACAAATTATTTTTTGCCTAAAATATACCCAACAAACATGCATAGCAAGTTTAAAAAGTAATTATGCAAGCGTATTTTCCTCCTAATAATATTAATGCTAGGACCAGGAAAACATACCGGTAGGTACGAGATCCTTACCCCATTCTCTTTCAAATGAGCCGCCTATCGTCGAAGTCTATACAGTTTAATGAAAAATAGTAGAGCGTATACAAATACATACAAATTTTGAAATGGGCATTAGTATTACTTTTATTTGAAGTGTCTAGATATGGAACTTTTTATAAAAGCTTTCGTAAAAAAAAAAAAAAAAAAAATGCGCTTTGTCTACATTAGAAATTTCATTGAATACCTTCATAAATAAAACATACAGCATGCGTTAACAGTAATTTTGAAACCGGTATTAGTTTTAGTTTCATTCAAGGTGCCTACATATGATATTTCGTTTAACTGCTTTCATAAATAAGGAAGTTGGCATTGCGCATGCGCAAAAAAAAATTTTAACACTGGTATTAGATTTGCTTGTATTCCAAGTGCCTATGTATTAAATTTCATTTAAACGCCTTCATAAATAAAAAAGTTAGCATTGCAATGCACATGCGTTAAACCAAATTTTTGACACTGCGCATGCGCAAAACCAAATTTTGCAACTGGTGGTTCCTAACTTAACTTTCTTGTTTACTTTTCCCATTATCGTGTAAAATTAAATTAGTTTTAGGTTATAAAGTATAAAGAAAAACAAAACATTGGCAGGTCACGATACATGCGCGAGTTTACTCCCACCTTCCTCTATTCAAGCGGAAATTATTTTCGCTGAGAAAAATGGCGAACGCTGTTAAGCGCCAAACGACAGTTGTATGTTGAATAGTAGCGCTACCTTGGCGCAACCCAATGTTATAAGGGAGATACCTATATAAAAAAACAGTAAATAGTTAATCGGTATCCATATGTATCACTATCGCTTTCTGAGGTCAAAAACAAATGGCTACTTAACCATGAATTGCTCTCCCTCTAGCGGCACACCTAGAAACTTGAAAATAATTTCCAGCGATTTCTCTTGACCTCTTTTGTTAACAAAATCTTTTTCCCCAAGCTGTGCAATTAACGGTTTCATAGATATGGCCTGTGACCTTTATTAATAGGACATCCTGTACAACAATTGCAATATCATTGAAAATATTTTTGGATCCAGCCTTCAACATGCTCCGACAATAAATTTTAAATATGTGCATTAATAAACCCACAATCTTCCACCCACGCACTATTGGCGTATAGGTGATAGGTAATTAATAACGGGCGATCAAAAAAGGGATTTCCCATGTAAACAAAAGTTCCAAAGGTGACTGGACACCAACTCTTTTTTGATCGCGTTGTATTTAAATGACACATTTTTCCGTTTTCAAACTGTCTTCTAACTCAAACTTATTTACGACCATTGGACTCTGTCCATGGCGGATACTTTTCTGTCTCTTCTCAAATTATAAGTAGTTTGGCATGCTACTAATTAAATTTTATTTCAAATCGTTTCAAAAACACTTTCAATGCAATAAAATGTGACACTGTCAAAAAATGTGAATCAAAATCAAAATGCCAGGAACCATCTGCAGTTCCAGGAACAACGTGTTGAAAAGGTGCATAAATGATTTCTTTTTGGTACACCGTTGGAAGTTCCCTTATCATTTGCAAGGGACATAATTTTAATTTTCTTGTTGGTAAAGGTGCTGGAAAGTAAAATTTACCAGCAACCCACCGTTTTGGATGATTTGTTGTTTGGTATGTTCGTGAAGGTTTCCTTTTTTCATTGGGAAAAGTTACTAAAGGTTCATGAGGAAGGTACTACAAGTTAAAATTTGAAAACTGATTGCTAGGAACCCGGTATTGTTCTTGGAAAACAGTGTGGAAACTTGGCTTGCTACCTTGGGTTGAGTAAATTATTCAACACATCAATTTCTGACTGTGCCATTTTTATGATCGCTGTATTTTCAGAGTCACAACTTAGCAGCGCCCTAGAATTTTAAACTCGTACTCAAATTGTTCAATGGTCTGGGCAAAAACTGAAAATTGCTCGCGAGTTATTTGCCAAGTCAATGACATGAGATTAATAATGAAAAGGAACATAATGAGAGTTAAGTGCCATGCATAATGCAACCGTGTAATTTTTAATAGGAAAGTTTAAAGAAATTACCTGTAAGGATGTTTCAAGCAACCATATGCGTCCCTATATCGGCCATAAAGTGTACCATATGAGACTCCTAACAGTTCGGCGGCAATCTTCATTTCTAAATTTTTTGTTTTAATCGCGTCCATAACGCGTTTCGTAAAAGGTTCCTCCCAAAACTGCTGTCTTCTGCCCGTACTTAAATAGTCATTCATTTTTATAACATCTGGCCATTCTTTTTCTATAGCTGCGGTGAGGCATGACGTAGTGGCAGAATTGGAAGAATTTGTTGATTGTTTGGCGCCATTATTTCCTTTATTCTGACCACCGGAAGATTGTAAGTCAAATTTTGAGTCAGGTCCTAGGTCCATAGCGCTGTCATCCATTAACAGATCGTCCTCTTGAAGCTATAATTGCGTTATCTCATTAGAAAAACCATTTGATACATTACCGTGTTAATATAAAAATTGTGCGCAAGTAGTTCCTACTTACAGATTCCGATTTTATTTTGGGCGGGGGTTCATCCAGTTCTGTTTGATCGTTGTCGTTCGCTGCCGATTCTTCTTCCCATATTGATAAGTCTTGATCACTACTTGACAACGCATCATTCGAATAACCTTCCTCCGCATTCCCTGTGACACTGGTAATTTTTGGTGTTGTAAATGCTTGCTCGTAATCGTCTATTGGCGGTCGACCCCTTTTCCTTTTATTGGGCGGTTCGTTTTTTGGACTGTCCATTACTGTAGATACATTTGGTAAAGCTGATTGTACGCCATTTACGCTCGTGTCATTGTTGCCTTCTTCGTCTCGCCACGAGACTTCCGCCAAGCCTTTTATTCGAAGTTCTTCTGCCGTTTTTAATAGTGTGGCCAGGTGACACTGAAATGGTTATTATTGTGTTAATTATAAAGATTACAAACAATTTCTTAGTAAATGTCAAATTGCCTACGTATCGATACCTATACCTATACAGGGTGTCTCACTAGGAATGCCGGCTATCTGTATCTCAAAAAGGAAACCTTAGAATATTTTGAAAATTTGATAGTAGTTTAATATTGGTAAGAGGAATTCTGGTTATGTCAAAAATTTATTCCAACTTGCTCATTTTAAATGGAATACCCTATATATTCTTTCGTTTTTAGATGTTACATAAAATTCTATATGCATTTCATGTTTAATCAATATCCTATATCTAAATTTTTTCGTATTTTAATTTTTGTGTAAAAACTGACGTTTGCAGCCCAAATCACAATTGCTGATTTTGTCTATATGATCCCTGTTATTATATACCGGGTGGGGTACGGTAAGTAGGAACCGAGGGGTAAACCACTTCGCGAAATCGTGTCACAAATTTCAATAAAACATACGAAATCCCTTGCGAAATCGCGAAATCCGCGAAATCGCTTGCGATTGCGTGGGAGGGTGTTTCTTTGATTATAGTCGATGAGAAAAAGGTATTTGAAATCTGTTGCAGGTTCTAGCACTCGCCGATTATTTCACGAAATCCCTAGGACATCTTCCTACACTTTTAAAAGCTGTGAAACCCCTAACCATTTCGCGAAATCCCTTACAATTTCGCGAAAGCTCTTCGAAATCTCTTGGAAATGCGCGAAATCCCTTAGGTACAATTGCGCGAAATCCTTGCGAAATCGCATCGATTTCGCGCAATACTGTCACAATTCTTAATAGTGGTTAACCCCTCGGTAGGAACATAGGGATTTAACATGGGAAATTAGTTTTATGCAATATCCTGCCATCCTGTGCAGTTTACAGAAAAAACTGCAGAGTTTAAAGTTGTTCAGAATTAAAAGAAGCATACAAAATTGTGAGAAATCTGTGGTTGAAATTTCAAAGAAATATTTCCATCAATAAGAAAGTTGACGTTGCGGAATTCGCACATCCGCTCATTTAATTTATACTATACCTATGCGATATGTTTGATTTTACTAGAAGCATCTGTGGGTTTTTCCTACAAGTGGTATGTTATTCTATACTAGAAACACGGTCTACGGTTAAAATTTCAAAGAAATATCTTCAAACATCAGGAAGTTGGCACCGCGCAGAATATTGACTGCCTGACATCTACTGTTTACATTATGAGAGATGTTTGCCTTTAAAGCCCATCACACAATGAAAAAAATAAGGAATAAGAAATATGAAATAACAAATAAGAAATAATAAATAAGGAATAACAATTTTCAATCTATTGACCTTTATGGATTTGCACACAACACTGAAATATGAAATAAGCCTAGGAAATAAGAAATAATAATTTCCTTCAGTCGAATTTTTATTTCGTATTTCATATTGCGAACCAATGACATTAGAAGAGGCGTGCACGCGTATTCTACCTATATTCATAAATAAACGGCATGAGTGTTCTGATTGGCTTATAGTCTGTTGCTATTTATTTGTTGTGTTTTTCGTGTACGGCGTCACTATTTCTTATTCCATATTTCATATTTCTTATTCCTTATTTTTTTCATTGTGTAACAGAAACATCTGTGATTAAAATGTCAAAAATATATCTCGATAAATAAGACAGTTGATATTATGCATCATGCGCATGCGCACATTAATCGGATGTTGACAATATGAGATATGTTTGATTTTACTAAAAGTATCTTTGGTTAAAATTTCAAGAAATATATCCACAAATAAGAAAGTGGGCTTTACGAAGTCTCCCTATGTGCACAACTGATTTTTACTACATGCGATATGTGACGTTTAAAAAAGTATCAGCAAATTGAAGACCACCCCGGGCAGCAAACGTTCTAGGTCCACCAATGATTATTGTAACTTTGATATTACTACAGACATGAAGTTGGTTAAATCAGCAAATAGGAAGCATATTTTGTGAGCATTAAATTGATGGAGCCAAACTCGGAGCCAAAAAATCAGTTCAGCATGGGGTTACCAAGAGATTCCAGAAAATAACATTTTTTAAATGGAAAGCGTGTACCTATATTTGAAAAAGAATGTAATTCTTTAATACATAACCACTTTAAATTAATTAACAACGGAGCTATAAAACATTAATAAACATTCAATGTAAATTATCCTCACGAAAAACTCGGAAAAAAAGAACTCAAAGAAAACTAAAACTATAAACAAAAGAATTACAATGAACAACGGCACAAAAAACCTAATTATAAAAAAAAACTACTTCCGCTGTCGGCGTAATATTTATTGATTGTCATTCTTTTGTTTGTGCTTTTATAGTTAGTTTATAAGTAAAAATGCTTCATCAAATTTCGTACCTCCAGTATCCTCCAGAACGTTAGCAATAGTTCCGGTTGGAACACACTGAAGTAAAAACATGGTCACGATTGCGCCCTTGACCATATGTATTATGACTTATGAGATTTAAACAAAACGTGTGTTACGTATGCGTTAACTTCATTGGGAAATCGTCTAAACATATTACCCCGTCAAGATGCTGAATCAGTAAATGTAAATTTCACATATTGTGTATATTTTTGACTACGAATGATAAAATCGCTACTTTATCTATGAACTCTATTGGGAAAACATGAAAGTCCAAACGTCATTACCACGATGTAGTCGAAAAAATGCAGGAGGGAAAACGCGTGGTTTGTATCTATCTCCAATGAAACCCGAGATGAAACCCTACCATACATGTGAAAATCTGCAATTCTAAAAAGAATTTGATTTTTTCAATTGCCGTTTTGAAATAATAAGTTGTGTTTCCGCTGGCACTCTGTACTCTGTACTATTCTTAAATCACACAAAAAATATTTTCAACAAAAAATTCAAAACTTATTTTAAGATTTGTGTGTTTATCGCTTAATGCGTCAAGTCTCAAAGAAAAATAAATAATATTTTCAAAACATTTATCACGCAAGATATCATTATCATTTCTTAACCACACGACTTTGAACAATTTCGGAGTTAAATTTGGGGATTAAGATAAAACCGTTATTTGAAAGGAAAATGAAACACTACAGTATCGCTTGTAATCATCGTTTCCTTTCATGTCGATAGATAACCATGCATACGACCATCTGAAATCTTTGTTTAGCGGTTTTATACCAACAAACTTCAATTTCGCAGTAAGGACAATAGCCTACATTTTCAATTCAAATTCCCGTCACATAATCAGCATGCGTGAAATTACAAATTGTTGCAAGCAAAACTTAATTTTTCGCAAACTTAATGAGACACATACAATTCGAGTTAAACTGAAAATGTAAATTGAAGTGTGTAGTTGAAAATAAGTGTATAAACCCAGTTTGCGGAAAAAATTGAATACATGTTGTAGAGTGAAAATAGCAACTACACAAACAAGTATAAATTGTGCACAACTCTTGCGCAGATAAAGCGCATTTTTTTAAAAAACCGAAATAGCTTTTGTTTTGACATGACCGATGGATATATTTCTTGCAGACGTCTCAATCGTGCTTTGTGAGTACCCTCTTCCGACAATCCGTTCTTGAGGTATAAGGGAATATACCCGATCACGATAAGAGGTCGAGGAGGAGGACTATGGTTGGTATAAATTAATTCCTTTCGTTGAGACCTTTCATTAGAGTATCATGAAGGATAAAACTAGTTCACCCTCCCCCCCTGCCCCACCACCCCGTACTTTGGATAAGAGGACAGAAAGAAGAGCAGTAGAAAACGGTTCCTTTCGTTGAGACCTTTAATTAGAATACAATGAGAGATAAAATTAATTTTTAACCCCCCACCCCTCAGGCCCCGTCACTCACTGATATCGAAAAAGAGTCGCACGACAAAGTTATAGTTTGTACAAACCAATTTATTTCGATGAGACCTTTCATTAGAATACCATGAAGGGTAGAACATGTGTTTACCCCCCTTTCCTAAAGTTTAACTTAACACCACTAAAGGCATGCGTATGCAAAATCTGAGACCAATTGGTTGTCGTATGTAAAGCCCGCCTTTTAGACAGCGAAAGTTAATGGCCGTCTGGCACACCTTCAAGGTATAGGTTACCTACTGCAAACAATTCCAACTCTAGGACCATTCCCCTAGAAGTAGTTCAAAGCGGTAGAAATGGGCCCGGACGGACAAAACGCAAACAATAGCACATTTTTTTAATTCTTCAAAAATTGCGCTAAAAATGGACGGTATCAAAATGTTTACGATCCTAATCCCAAAGGTCTCCAAATGTGTGTTTCTTTTTCGAGTATGATGTTTGTATTTGGTTAGATTTTTCCAAAATTCTCTTCATTCCCAAACAAGAATTCATTGGAAGTTATCGAAGAGACATTTCATTACAAGCTGTATCCCGCGCGTCCGAATAATTATCTGATTTTTACCCCGAATTGCTGTTGAATACTTTTTGAGAGTTCAATTTCCGTTTACGAATGGGAAGAAAAAAAAAACAAATTACGGGGTCATACGAACACCTAGGTAAAGCCCATAGCACATCTTACCGTCTTACCCTGTGTATATAGCTGGAAACTGCTACATTGTGTCCGATCTAATTTGATTAATTGTGCATTCGTGTCGTCACAGGCCTTTGACCAATAAACACAATAAGATTTTTTTACCGTTTTAAAAATAAGTATCCTTTATTAACGAGCTCCCAGCGAGTTTATAATTTTGCGGTGTCTGTTCGTCCGTCCGTTAGCACGATCTTATAAACGAATGGACCGATTACGATTAAACTTTGTAGGTAGATTCTTTATCAAATTTGTAGATCGGAGTTCGTGAATTGGCAATGTAAACCAAAAAATAAAGTAGGCCCTTTTGACATCTCCGTTAGTTACGAACCGAATTGCATGAAATTCAATATGCGCATAGCTTTAACCATATAAAACACAATTCCAAAAGTTGAGCCTAATCGATCAGCATTCACAGTGCCCTTTGCGCATCTCGACCATTTACAGACC